CTCGGGGCGGCGCTCCCCACCCCCGGCCCTTCGTGGGTGTGAAAAAAATGCGAAAAGCGTTTTTCCTCGTTTTCATGGTTTCGACTCCCGGCCATACAAAACGGGGGGGGACAACAGAAATTGCAGCCGAAAACACAAACAGGCGTCAGCTCGCGAATACCATTCAGCGAGAGAAAAATACCAAAACGGAGCGAAAATTGACCTCAAAGCTAAAGCAACGCCGATCTTGAAAAATGTGTTTAAAACGTCCCCAGCGCTAACATCATCCTGGCGTCTGCCCCCAAGGAAAAAAGGAGAACCGACACCACCACCACCACCACCACCACCACTGGCGCGAGCAGCCAGGGGCGGAGAACCTGCTGCAGGCGTGCTCCCCCCCTCTCTGCTCGAGACATCCCCTGATTACTCCCCAGCTCGGGGAGGCACCGTGGGCCTTCTTGGTGGTGGTGTTGTCACTTCTTCCTCTGGTCCCAGTCCGACCCTCTGGTGCACACCTGCCTGGGTAGTCGAAGCCAATCTGGCGCCAGTCTGGCAGGCCCAATCTGGCAAACGGGGGCAATCTGGCGAGGGAGCCAACGCGAATCCAGTCTGGCGAATAACCCAAATCACCCAATATGGCCAGGCCAGATTGGCCTTTGGGGCCCAATCCAGTCTGACAGTCTGGCCTTCGACTACCCAGCCTGCACTCGGCGGCCCGCCCCCCGGGGGAAGGCAGAGGGGGACCGGCCTTCTCAGAAGGCTGCGGGGGGGTTGCCCAGATCTCCGACGACGGGAGTTTTTCCGTCTGGCGGGCCTGCCTCGATCTCGGCCTTCTAGGGGGTCCTCCACGGGCCCCAAGGCCATCACGAACGCGTCCGAGACGGAAAACCGACCCGGGGCTCATGGGGCAAGGGGTCGGGACCTCTGGGGCCGCGGGTTGGACAATCCGAGCGGCGGACGTCCAAGTCTGCTCCCGGCGTCGTCGAAAGCGAGGGCGGAGGTAGTGAGGTCTGGGGTGTCCTCGGCACCACCTGAAACTCTGGGGGCCTGAATGGGGACATCCGTCCGCGTCCTCATGGCTTTCGATCGCAATCTCCATTGGTTCGTTCTCTCAATACGTGTGTTTCCCTCTCACTCTCACTGTTGTATGTGGCGTCTCTCCTTCTAGCCTTATGCATTTCCGTATGTTCCCTGATACTATTTCTCTCTCTCTCTCTCTCTCTATCTCTACATCTTTATTTATTTATTTACACATATATATATATGTGTGTATGTATGTATGTATATATCCTGCATGTGCCCCTTTTCTCGTGATTGTTGAGATCCGTGTTTATCGTGACTATTTATAGACATCTATCAGTATGTGTATATATGCGTATATCTGCGCATACATACATGTCGAGAGAACACACGCACATAGGCACATACACACATATGCCGAGATACATGTATACATGTACGCATACAAGCATGTGTATATAAATCAGAATGAGGGGGCCCGAACGGTCATTCACTGTCCCTGGGTGCGTGGCTGCAGCGAGAATCCGCGGCGAAGATTCTTGTTGTTTTGTTGTTGTTCTGTTGCGTCGTCGTCCCCCCCGCTCCGCGACCCGCCCGCGACCCACCCGCGACCCACCCGCGACCCACCCGCGACACGCCCCGCGACCCACCCGCGCGACCTACCCGCGACCCACCCACGACCCGCCCCACAACCCACCCGCGACCCACCCCACGACCCACGCGCGACCCACCCACGACCCACCCCGCGCTCGCCCCCTCACTCTTATCCGCACTTGCGGGGTGCTACATATATAAAGATATCAGAGTGACGGGGGCAAACGGCAATCAATTGTCCCTGGGTGCGTGGCTGAAGTGGGAATCCGTGATGGAGATTATGTTTGTTGCGTTGTTGCTGTTGTTGTTGTTGTTCTTGTTAATGTTGTTGCTTGTTGTCGTCATCCCCCCCGCGACCCACCCGCGACCCACCCCGCGACCCACCCCGCGACCAACCCCGCGACCCACCCTGCGACCCACCCGCGACCCACCCCGCGACCCACCCGCGACCCATCCGCGCCCACCGCGACCCACCCCGCGACCCACCCGCGACCCACCCCGCGACCCACCCCGCGACCCCCCCGACCCCCCCCGCGACCCCCCCGCGACCCACCCCGCGACCCACCCCGCGACCCACCCGCGACCCATCCCACGACCATCCCGCGACCCACCCGCGACCCACCCGCGACCGATCCACATTGGTTTGAAAAAAAATCGGCGCCTGCGGCGGACTCGTTGTATACTTTGTGAAACTTTGGCGCCTGCGGCGGGCTTCTCTAGAGTTTCGCAGACCGCCGGCGTTCCCACCGCACTCGTTACTCGCATCTGCGGGGTGCTACGGATTCCCACTTCAGCCACGCAGCCAGGGACAATTCATGACCGTTCGGCCCCCTCACTCTGATGTGCGTGTGGCGCGTGTATTGACATCTTCCTCATGTAGGCAGGCCCTCCAACTCCCTCCTCATGTCGCCCCCCTCTTCGTTGTCGCTGGCGTCGTCCAGATTTTTGGCTATCATTCAGGTCATGGGCGCACCGTGATTTGTGCTGCAGCACATGGCGCAAACATGTGTGCAGTGGCGCTCAAAAGTGGTCAAACATTAGGACTAAAGGATGCGACCGACCAAGTTCACACTTGGTCGGGTACCAATGCCGCCCTTCAACAAACTCAACGTCCTGACAGCAGCTTTGTTCCTGCGCCCCCCTGTGCACGGCCTCGAAGGCAACTCCTCCGAATGCGCAAACGCTGCACCGACCGCCCCGCCCTCCACCCATCCGAATGCGATGGGACCAGTGCGCCAAACGGGTTGGGCGGGGAACGCCCGTGCAGATCGTAGAAATTTCTATGTACGAGATCATGCGCGAATCCCACAAATCTTGTATCACACGCACACGCACTGACTTACCTACCGATAAAAGGTCGGGACTGTTCGCATCATTCTCAAGGTCAAAGGTCGGCGAGGCCTTGGGGCCCTTGGCATTGAAGCAGCCGGCGTCAACAACCTCGAGTTTGGGAGCGGCTTCCCCTATTCCCGCGAACAGCGCAGACTTGCCGCGCAAAGCAATCACCTGGACTTTCACAACCTGCAGAAAAGTAAGGACACCGGGATGGGCTCTGACGCCAGCCTTCAATCGTCTCGCCTTCTGCGTTGCCTCTGCAAGCCCACCAGGCTTCGCCTATGCTGCTAGCCTGGGCCAAGGACTGGAGACTGCGAGCCTTGGCCACTTGCACTGGGGCCGCCAGGTCAGCTGCGACAAGGAAAACGCCACGCCAGAACCCTGCAGATGGTACATCATCTAGACGCTGGCCTGGTCCAGCCGCCCAAATGGCAACCGCGACTTCTACAATCGAGTGCTCGAGTGTTGGGATCCAGCTAAGGGCGCTTCGCAGACTGAGCAGAGCATCTATTTCGGCGCGACCAGCTGTTTAGACGGAAGGGGGGAAACAACCCTCCCCCACCCGCGCACGCACACACGCACGCGAGAACATGTACGTGGCGGCCCGCGCGAACCACGGCCCACCCAGCACGCTCGATCGCATGGCCCCCAAACTGCATCGCCGATTCATCGTTTGCAGCGTCGCGTCCAAACATTCCGTCGGGGGGGCGCGCCTCGCAGGTGCTAGAGCCATCCAAACGGGTGATGGGGGGCGACGGGGCTTGAAATGCCGGGCGGGGGGCGCGTAACGCGTGGCGTTCAGATGATATGCAGCTTCCTCTTCGATCTCCACAATGGCATCTGGAACGTCCAACCCCTGCCGGACGCGCCAGGTCGCGCGCGCCTGCGTAGTCAAGACTTGGGCGCGCCTGCTTCATCGAACAACTTGCACTTGGGACTGGCCGCTCCCCGACCCGCGAATCGAATCCGACGCGCAGGATGGCCGCCGGACAACATGCGCGCCAGAAAATATGCTTCTGCTGGGCGGCTGGGCCCTCGGGGGGCCCCGGGGGTGCCCGCGGCGCGTCCGCGCCAAGGGGGTGGTCCGCGTAGCACCTGGCCGTTGCGCTGGGGGCCCTCGAGAACTCTCAAAGAGTCTGAGCATGGCCCTGAGAATATTATTTTCCGTCGTGGGCGAGACCCCTCAGATCTTTCCAGGCGTCCGGGCGGCGGGGCATCCAGCCGAGCACCCTGCGCGCGCAGTTGGCAGCTCCTCCTAGCCCTCATGCACTTTTCCAATAGAACTGCTCGCGTTCCTTCTGCAGAAATCAGCGAGGTGAGCCGCGGGCGCCCTTTTTCAGCCAGCCTGCTTTGCAGCCGCAATTGGAGCGGAAGGAGGTTGGCCTGGAAGGCGGGGTCCAGCGTGGGATGGGCACCCATTTGTAACGCAAGTGCCCTCGACCTGCCTCTCGACGCACCGAATGCTGATCTCGCCGCCACTGCCCGCGGCGGCATATATCTGCAAATGGAATTACAGTCAACACGAGCGCCGCGGCTGCCCGCGGCAAGACCACCAGTCTGCAAGATGCAACATTATCCGGCAGCAGCGGGCCCCAGCAACTCCTGAAACCCATCCTCAGTGGGCCTCGGCGCAGCGGGGACCTGGCCATCCCTCGTGGGAAACGGCATCTTTGACCCAGCAACTCAAGGCTGTCTGGCGCTTCAAAACCTGTCGGCATTCAAACTGCTCAGCAAGACGGCCGGCCTCTAATGGAGCGACTGCGCGGCCGACGCCCCTCGGGCAACCCGATATGGCATTGATGTTATAAACTCAAAGTCGCCATTCAAAGCAAGAGGGCCTCGGGGGGCCTCATTGATGATTGCGGTCATGTCATGGTCGCTCCAGATATGAACCCTGAGAAGAGCAATGCAGCTCCAGGGAACAGACGTGCACCCTGCTCCAATCTATAGCCGGAGAACACCCCGCGGGATATGGCCATCCAGCGGTGCCTCTGGCTCTTCGGCCCCAGGGCCCTGCCCCAACACATGCCCCTATAGCCCTCGTCCAGAGAAAACGCCCTACACATCCCATC